CATAAAACACAAGTGTTTTCTTCCAGAAGCTCGGATTGAAACCTCGTTATGCAACTCATATATAAAGTGGTAGAGGTAAACTGAAAAAAGAAGAAAAAAGTTGCTGAATCCATTGTTTACAGGCCTCATTAACATGATTATTTGGTTATAGCACCTTTAAGTGTCTTTCGCATAAAACACAGGGACGTCTTCTACAAGCTCGGATCAAACTTTGTTATGCAAACAAGACTCACAAAGTGCGAAAGGTAAACTGAGAAAAGAAAAAGAAGTTGTTGAAGCCATTGCTTACAAGTCCTCGGCAACATGATTATTTGGTTATATATAACACAATCACGATAAGGTTTTCTATCTCAGTTTTTTACACGATCAAGCTCTTTGCAAGTTACTACAAGTTTCCAAAGAAAACATTTAACTGGAACCTTTCTGTTGGATATGGGCTTCACCCACTAAATGCCATTTGGCACAAACAGAGACCCAATTATTTATTGGGCCTGTTGTCTTTCAAATTCAGCCCACCAAGCTTAGAGGGTAAAATGGTAATTTGCTGAGGAAACAGAAGAGACCTTAGGTAACAATCCTTGTCCTATAAAAAAAACACTATTTGTAACAGGACCACACACAAGTTAATATCCAGAGAATCAGAAAATTATTCATAGCGTATACTTTCGTTCGTAATTCTTTGCGTATACGTTCGTTGGTTGTTCGTAGTTCTTTGCGTATACCTTCGTTCGTTAGTCATAGTTCTTTGCGTATACATTCGTTGGTTGTTCGTAGCTCATAGTCTGTACGTTCGTCATTTGCTCCCTGTAACTAACCGATCTCGTTCGTCGTTAATAAAGAAGTCACTTCGTTCTCCCCGAAAATCCTATAGTTACTTGTTGTTACAACCTCGGTACAAACACTTTCAATTATGGTCATATTAAATAAATGTAAAAATGTTTCAAGAACTTCGTTTTTATGCTATAGTTTCTATACAGAAAAAAGTAAGGAGATCAACACAAAGAAGAACCGATTAATACAGTGAATACAATGAATATATACATTAAAGCTATTAACGTTGAAATTGAAGATGCTGGGAAGAAGAGTATACAAATAGAGTCTTACTTAAGAAAACATAATGGTAACATATAAGAAAAACAGGACGTCTTGTTCCTCATTAGTGTTTATTGGTAGAAGTAGGTTTAGCCTTATAGGCTTCTTGACGATCAGAACGGAGCAATGTGCGTGATGAGCTAAATAGTCACTCACGCTACCCAAATACACCCTCTTGACAGCTCCATAACCATGGCTTCCAAGAACAAGAACACATGCATGATGTCTCTCCAAGGGACGATTGGATTTGAGATTTACGAAGAAAGAAACGTGTTCAAGATCAGGAAGGGGTACGTGTTCGTCGGTTATGTGGTGGGATCTACGAGTATGAATAAAAAATGTCCACTGATTCAATATTCACAATAATCACAAGTGTTTATAGCATTACGTAAGGAGAGACATTAGGAATTAGTTAATACGTTTTTGAATCCATTCTTTTTACACGCCTCCTCAAAAACAGAGAGATTCTTATGACCACAATCTTGTTGCATAACTCACCAAAGCGGGTTCGAAAAAGTGGTTTGTCAAATCTCGAGGAGGAAGGCCAATCAGGCCTACTCAAAAAATTTCTTGGACTTTAGTAGGAAAGCGAGGTAAAAAGGGTCGTCGTGGTCGTGGCGGCCACGGCCCATCGACTTATGAGGTTAGAGATATTTATATCTACAATTTCCTCTTCTTTATTAAACTTATCAACTATGTTGTAAACTCTTATTCATCTCTCAAAACTGTATGGCCTAACAAGTCATAGTCATGTACCGTTTATTTTTGCAATTTCAATAGAATACCCTTTATCAAAAAGAAAATGCATCAGACATGTAAGAGCATCTCAGTACATGTCAGCCACTGAGAAATACGACATACATATTGGTAGAAACGCAGTCGCCAACCTCACCGGCACAATCCACATTCGAATATGCATGATGTGACAAGGGATTTGAACGTTTAAAGTATATGCCATAAGAAGATGACTATAGTTGCAAACTTGCAGATGCTCAAACACTTAACTAGGCCTAGAGGGTCTGGCCCATTTGTTTTCAACCTAAAGTCCTGATTATATCTCATATCCCAAATTCAGATTATTCATTAGCTGTGTTTTCCATGTGTTCATTAGAATGACACTATATTTTATCAATCGAAAATAGCTTGAAGCTTATTTTTAAGCTTATTTTTTCCATGTGTTCATTAGAATGACACTATATTTTATCAATCGACTAGATTTAAAAATAAGCTTCAAGCTATTTTCTATATAGCTTCAAGCTATAACTTCAATGGTACTAGAGAACGTATGGCCCATGTGTGTAACACAAAACTCATGTCGTTTTTAAGAGACTTACAAGACACGTTGTGTGAGGGAGATGTGTTAATTATGAGAGTCCCACATCCAGGGGCGGAGGCACGTAGAGTATTATGGGTGCAATTGACACCAATAAAGTTTTTAAAAACGTTCTAATTTCATTAAGTTTTTAAATATATATGAATCTTGAACCCAACCCAATTTTGAGTTTGAACCCAACCCAATTCAAAATTTAATTTTGTTATTTCTTGTCAACATTTTGGTATTTTCATAAAATCAATTATAATTATAATTTTCTTCCCTTAGATAGAAACTTCATATCTTCAATATGGACGAACAGAAATGGAATCCACCAAAATGTGTTCCGAAATGCTTGTTGTTCCATCTTGAGACATTTGTGCATGTGGAGAGGATACGAATGTCAACGAGGAGGGAGAAAGAGGTGGCCACATACATCCTAGAAAATGCAAGACGGTTGAAGAAAGCAACCTTCTGCACAAAACCCATCGAGACAGAAAAGCTTGAAAAGTTGGAAGAGAGAAATAGGAAGCTCAACAAGTAGGACGACACTCTCTACATTTTCTTGGACAAATACTGAAATGCCAATACCGGTTTATCTGTGGAAGCGCTTTACTAAACCGGAAAATTGTGGATTTTCATTTTTCTTTTTATATATTAATACATTACAAAATACAGAAAAAATTATATTTTTTATTTTATTTTGTTGTTATGGACAGTGGTTCGCAATAGCAGCTTAGGACTCACATATGCAGCAACAATTACACTGTCTATATTTAGATAACATTTATGTTATCAACGAAAGTTTTCGTTGGAGAATATATCTTGTCTATGCTTTTTTTTTTTGGTCATATCTTGTCTATGCTTTATTTTACATATTATTTCATTTCATTTATATAAGGATCAGAACTGTATATACATATGTGGTCAAGAATAATGTTGGTTACCCTAACTTGACTCTTATCATGAAAGGTATGGGAGGACAACTCATCATGTTGTGATAGCTATTGTTCTTTTCAGAATCAGAGAGGATTGTGATCTTGCTGGAATTTTTTTAGCCGTCGTGTATATGTTGTTTTAAGAAAAGCCAAAAGGCTTTAAGATCCTATCTCTTATTATCATCAGCATAGTCTTAGCTGCCCTCAAGATTTTTTTAGTTGGTGGTGAAAGTTTTGGATGCCCTAGTGATAGGCTCCCACGTCTAAGGTTGGGGGTCGGCCATCATACAACCGAAAAGAGTTAGTAATTTAGTATTAGGTTATGTTAGAATTAGGATTAGGGTTACAGTTAGAGGTAAGCGTTAGAGTTCTCTCAAAAAAAGAAAAACATTAAACAAAAAATGGTTGTAACTTATTAACTCATCATAACAACAAAACGGAAATGGTCAGCTCTACATAGCTACAAAAGCTTTAGATACCATGCGGTAAGATATTTCTACCTACAGATATATATTGGCTAACTTGATTTGGAGTCAATAATTCATAGCTTGCTTTTCAAATATATGTCGGGTCATCTTGTCTCCGATTCAGTAAATCCTTTGTTCACATGATTCAATACCGTGTAATTTTGTACTAATTTTGTAAAAGTTGAATACCCAAACAAAAAAATACATGAATCTAAATCCCAGACCTATTTCCTTACCCGTTGGATTAAATATACAATCACAAACTGGTAAATTATTTCAAAAGAAACAGTTATGAGATTGAAAAATTGCTAGCAGATGTGGGACAAGACGGGTTTTCCGTCCCACAATCAATATGCATACTTTCTCTTATTTCACGCATGAGTACGGGTTATAAGTGTACGAACGAGATTGGAATTACGAGTAATAGATAGATATCAAAAATGTTGAGCTACATTCAATTCTTAAACTTTCAATAATTTGGATACAAATTAATTTTTGAACGGTAAAGGTTTGTTTCCGGACTGAACTTTTGGGATATTAGGGTATTTTATTAAAATATAGTAGTAAATATTTTAGAAAAATAAAGAAAATATGGATATTTCTAATAATTTTTGTAAATATCCAAACGAAAAATTACAGGATATACGAATATTCTATCTGAATTTTAAACTTATTTCTTTATTCATTGGACTAAATATACAACCACTAACGGATAAATTATTTAGAATAAAACGGTTTATAAATTTTAAAAATTGCTAATAGATATAGGACGAGATAGGTTTTCCACCCCCACAATCGAAAGATTATCATCTCATGCGGACATGGCTGTTTTTGCGGATACACGGTCACTTGGTTCATCACATGCGATCGAGATGGACTCGTGCTGCAATAGACTTCGACTCTCTACCATTCCATTATTAGGTAATTTTATTTCTACAACGTTCAACGTTAAGAATAAATTGATTGTTATTCACATGAGATCACAATATTGAAAACTGAAAAGATTAAACTCTCGTGAACTTTCTCGATCAGTTGTAATATTTTCTAAAAATCTATGATTGTCTTTTCAAATTCCTTATAAAGAACAACACAATTTCTAAAAGATAAATGAACATATATGTAGACATTGCATCATCACTATTAGTGATTTCATAACCAAATTGATGAAAGTGATCTGTCGATCCAAATTTGTTGAGTCACAAGTTTATTTTAACCAAGTTTATTATAGCATTTTATTACTTAATTTTATTAGTTTGACAGTTACACATATCATATAGCCATCATACTCTCAGATTTTTGCTTCATCATCATAGTTCTTAGTTCATATCCGGTGGCGGTGGCCGCGTAGCACGACCTCAACCGTTTACACGCGGTGGCGGTGGCCGCATAGGACGACCCCAACCGTTTACATCCGGTGACGGTGGCCGCGTAGGACGATCCCAACCGTTTACATCCGTTGGCGGTGGCAGTATAGGACGACCCCAATCGTTTACATCTGATGGCGGTGGCTGTACAGAACGACCCCAACCGTTTACATCCGATGGCGGTGGCTGTACAGAAGGACCCCAACCGTTTACATCCGATGGCGGTGGCTGTACAGAACGACCCCAACCGTTTACATCCGGTGACGGTGGCCGTGTAGGACGACCCCAACCGTTTACATCCGGTGACGGTGGCCGTGTAGGACGACCCCAACCGTTTACTCTCTGATCGTGGCTTGGGTTTGGGCCTGTTTCCGGACTATCCATCATTTTCGGAATACTCTCTTCAACCTACATTACATTTTTGGTTTGGTAAAAAATTTCACAATAATTATCGTATGCACATCTATTTGTAAGTGACTGAAAATATTGATTACTAATCAGAGAGAAAATAAATAATATATGAATATTATGCATTTTGGTTAATGATATTGCTTACCATATTTACTGAATATTGGTCGGTGTGAGGAGCTCCATCTCCATGGCTCTCTCCAAAGCCTAAAAAAGAAAAGGTGAATTCAATAAACAACCATATTATTAGATTATAATAAGTGTGAAATCGGTAATAATCAGACTAGATCTTGATACTAAAAATGTAAAACTATCTAATTAGATATTTAAAACATTCTCAAATTACTTGAAGAACACAAGGGGAGAAGGAGCAAGAACGACATGAGAACCACCAGCTTCATCTTTGAAAGCAGTTTTTTAAGACAAGATATATGTTTTGGTTTTGTTGTTTGGAAGAGTAACACATGCTTCTCTATATATATAGCATACACAGGTTCGTAGTTACCCACTGGTGGAAAAATGTTTTGGCAAATAGATAGTTAGGTCTGAATAACTATGCAATACACATTTACTAAAGCTTATTTTGGGTTGGATTTGGACGAAGGTTGCTAAAACTTTCCGTTTTAGGTTTAAAAAAGTTGATGAGATCTACTTTTTCAAACCAAATTAACTTCTTTTTACGTTATACATTATCATTCATTTTTACTTAATTATATTGCTAAAACATTTACATTAGCAATTGAAGACATAATAATTAGAATAGCTATCACTATACGTAGTGGTTTATTTGCTTCACGTCAGCAACTTGAAGCTTCTAAGGTAATAATAACAAAAACCCAAGTTATTATACCCATCTTCTATAGGTCCACAACTAATTAATTATACAGAGATAGTAGTACTTTTCACGAAAAAAACGAATACCCTATCTATCAATCAACCATACTTATTTTGTGAAATAAAGAATCCAAGAAACAAGAACACAATGATTGAATAATTCATCTTAGAGTAATTGGAATCAAAATGTAAGTTTCTTCAATGCTGATTTCAGATATTTTTGAGTTCGAGATATTCCATCTCTGCTACTAAAAGATACTATAACCTAAGTATATTCTTTCAATTGGTAAAAGTAAAATTAACCTTTTTTTTACCTATCAAGAGAAATCTTTCCTTTTAAAAGATCCATGCTATGAATCAAAACATTCTACAAACACTAATAATCGTCAAACCATAGTTACACGTTGAGATTCCGACGCGGATCTTACGTGCTCAACTGTGTTATTTTCTCCACTTCCTAATCAAACGATGATCCACTTCAAATAAAAATTAATAATACTCTCTCCGTTTTATAATATCAAATGTTTTGGAGAAATTTTTTGTTACAAATATAAGATTTTTTCAAATTTTAATGCAAATTATAGATAAATTTAATATTTTATGATTGTTTATATTTTACAGTCTCTTTTATAGTTGATTGAACATTTTAAAAAAATATATTTTTTAATCTACGTGTTTTTGGCTAAAATAACTTATATTTTAAAATGGTGGAAATAGTAAAACTAGGCCGCACACTCAAGGAAAAATGTTGTAATCGGCAAGCTCTTGCTTCTTCTATGCAGCAAATATGCTGCGTTTACCAAGTTGCTCCGAAAGTTCAAAAAAATTTGGAAAAAAAATATTATGAGATCATTTCGTTTCGTTTTTCTACCAAATTACATGATAAAAACAACAATGGATCACTCCAAAAAAATCGAGCTAAAGGCCCAAAAGGGCCCATATATGAATGGCCACACCAAAACATACTTATCCTAAACTTCTTCATCATCATCATCTCCAAACCCCAAAGCTCAAGATGTTGACCAAAAATAAGGGCTCAAGATAATAATGCAAATACCTCTGGGGATGCCCTGAGAATAAGCTGTTGAGCATCAACCTCCATATTATCATCCGGAGAAGAATGCTTCTCAAGGTCAATGATGTCTGGGGATGAACTTTGGTCTGTATTGTTACCAACCTCAATAAGAGCAGATATTCCATTCTCCATGAGTCCTCCCCACTCCTCACAGAAATATTTCCAATCAATCTCAGGGATGATTGTCAGCTTGTCTGTCTAGTAAAAGGTGCAAGAGTACTATAGATTAGATCAAAGTCAGAATTCCCCAAGTCTGTGTTTGACACTATAAACAGCCACAGAACACGAGAGAGGATGTTAACTGAATCGACAATCACAATACCAATTTGTTAAATTCAGAACATGATTCCCTTTATTTCTCACTGAAAGACAATCACACCACAGAACCACGGGACCATACTATCAGACACCTTACTTCCAAGCTCTAAAACCAGTCCCAAAATATTCAGACACCTCTCGACACTTGATTAATCTCTTATTTATAATATATGATCACTTACAGATGGATTTTTCTGAAAATAGATTAAGAATCATCACACGGTATATATGATCACTTACAGATGGATTTTTCTGAAAATACGAGCCACGTCTGCAGACAAGTTCAGGGAGCCTTTCAAGGAGTCGTGTGTGCTGAAACAAACAGCCATAGGAACAAACCATTAGTATTATGCTCAAAACTGATAGTGAGGGGATGAAAGAAGGCCTGCTGATATAAGACAGGTTATATTCACCCGCGTTTACTAACATATATCGAAATATTTCTATGAGAGGAAACAGAGAAAGTGGTCAGGGACACTGATTTAGAATTAATCACTTCTGTCCACATAAAGCTTTACCCCACAATATCCAACTGCCAGTAAATTGGAAACCGACTCACTGCCGAGTAACAGATCTTACCTTTTTGCATTTGAGAGTATTAATGACTCCATCAAGACGTTCAGGCTCTGGTGCTGAAGAACTATTTTTTCCAGTCATGTTAATATAGATTCTCCATTGCACTAGCCACGGAGAAGGCAACAAGAAATATCGGCTTTGTGGCGTAAATGGTATATTCTTTCCCGTGGCTAACTTCTCGTGATTTTGGCGCTGCTTGACCTTCAATGTTCTGTTGCATCAAATAGAAGGTAAGAAAATATTTAAGAGTGTCACGACCAACAAAAATAATTACTAATAATGGTTAACCTTAGTGAATCCTCAAGGCATGCAACCTCAGAAAGTTCCTCTGTGCAATGACAACATTGGCTGGAGTCCACAGGGAAACAAGTACAATCCGAAGCATCTTCTGGCATCACTTTTAGAGCATCTTCAACAAGGAATGACCAGAAATTCTCTGGAACTACAATTCTTTTGGCCCCTGGTGCTTGCTCTGGCATCAGCTCTCCATGATTGCACGTAATAGCATTTGTGGGCCCCGCATCTGCTTCAGTAGGAGCATCAAGATTTTTCCTTTTTATCCATTGCTGCAACCTGGAAACATGCTATTACGCTTTAGAAGCAGCTAATTGTGGAAACACCACACAAAATAATAGTAATTAAGTGCTCCATAAAATAAAAGCGTCATCTGCATATGCATCAAACTTACAAGACACTTGAATACATACCATGCTCTAGAGATATAATACATTCCGTCCTCACACTTTCCCGAAAGAACATCATTTGCTACGCTTTTCATGAATGTTCTTCGATCCCTATAACTGTCAGAAGAGACAACCATGCGAGCACCATCCCATAAGGCAGTCCCTGCAGTAGTCCGCTTTTCCTAACTTTGGTCCACCATTGAACTAAATGTAAGAGAAAATGATTCCATCAGAAATAATAACATAGCATCAGAAAAATGTTGATGATAGAACAGAAGTCAGTCTACTGGAATCTACAAACTTTAAATTTGTCTGACAAATAGTTACACAAAGATGGCAGCTGATGCAAACTTGAAATGAATAAAGTTTCCGTCTTGAAAAAGGAAAGAAACTAACCCATGAGCTACACATTGCATACCTTTGATTCTAACTTGGTCCATGCAAGTTCAGATATCAGCTTCATGCAATTTACTTTTGAGGCAAGAACTTTCCCATGGGAACACAGTAAAGGGGTGTTGTCCAAAGCGCTACATCATAGAAGAACAAATATAATCAAGAACACCTAAAACTGATTTGCTAAATAGAAAATCATATTTACCAATACAAATTTTCAAAGGGAAAACAATGTCTAGAAGTTTGGTGTGGGGTACAAAGTCGCCATCATATTCTGATAATTTGTAGATGATGCAATTGAACGATACAATATTTTGTTGCAGATTTAAATGCATTGTATGTTGAAAGCAATGCAGTTGGCACATGTATGTAGAGATTAACAACAAATGTATGTATGAGGAGCTTTACTTACGGAGGCAAAGTGGTATCAGCCCATAGACGAAGCCAATCTGTGGAGATCCAAAAATATTGTTCTTCAAGTGACTGAACAGCAGCTTCTGAAAGGATAGTCCGTACTTCTTGCCTCCTTTCAGTCAAAGCACTCAATTCTTTTTCCTTTCTTAAATCATATTGCTTGCAACTCTCAAGGAATACTGCATTCATATTATTGATCCATTCATAAAGATGTAACGGAAGATAACCACCTTTAAGCTGTTGAAGACTATCAACTTTTCCTTTAGATATGTCAATAGGATTTTCTTTCTGTCCTTCCTGATTTTCCTGTTTATCGCATCTAAGACTATACATCAGCATATAAGCATCACTGGATGAGAAAACCTCTGACTTAATAGCAGACCTACAGTCTGAAGAGCCTGATTGAATGACATCTGTGATATTCTCACTACTAGCTGTACCATTACTCTCAGATTGTGGAGTTGAAGAAGAAGCTTCATTGAATGGACATTTACCCAGTTCTGACACATGTTCATCATCAAATTCCCACCACAAGCCAGTCTTTTCATCTTTTATGTGAGCAACATAATGTCCGCTGTTAACAGCGCTTCCTTTGTGGATTAACACAGCAGAGAGATCGTATGTCAACTTGTTTTGAGAAGACTCTGCCAATCTCGATCCCATATCTAGCACTTGAGGAAAGGAAAATGAGGAGGTGATTTTCTTCTTAGCTGTTGTCTGTTGACATGATCAAGCCAAAGAAAAGGAAAAGTTTACGCAACTTTAACAAGGTCTTATCTAGGATTAAAATAGGACAGAAATAATGATTAGATTTAAGCATAAAAACATGCAAGTTTGTATCCACAAAGACAGACAAGAGGTAATGATGCTTCTTGTTGAAAAAAAGTATGAGAATGACCATGAGTAAAAAGTCGATAACTCAATCAGCCAAAGAGAGCATACAAGAAAATCGCCTCAGCACTTGTAACACACAAAGACAGACAAGAGGTAATGATGCTTCTTGTTGAAAAAAAGTATGCAGGAAGATGTTTGGATTTTTATGCAATTCACAAGAAAATGACTAGTAAAACAGTGGAGATCATTTTCTCTTGATTCATGAACAATGGCATATTAAGATCGAGGAAAGCACCTTAGGAAGGAAAATGCATCGTTTGAGCTGAAAAGTGATAACAGGAGGTAGTGTACGCAGCCACGAAAAATTCGAAGACTTTTTGATGGGCTTGTCGCAGTTAATGGGCCGAATTAGGT